CATACATTCAACATATACATCATGTGTACAATCTTCATTTAAAAATTTCGGATTCATATTTTTTTTATATTTTAAACTTACTGTATCACTGAATGCTTGAGGTCAAATAGTAAAATGTGGTAACATAAACTTCAGTAAAATTTAAAATAAACATGACCTTTCAAAAATAATCTCTGTTACAAAAAGCATATCCTTTGTTTTTTTTTTTAGTGTAGTTACATGATGTTCCAAGTTCATTTTTGTTTTAATGAATACTTTGTACTTAATTGACATGTAATAAAACATTATACCATTAAAAATGAGCATGTAATTTTATAATGTGAGCTATATGTTTTAATAACCTCTGACCTGTTCTTGCATATATATATATAGTTATCAGTGTAAACCTTTATCGGCCCCAAAATACCCTGGTACGGCTGAGAGTGGGGAGAGTTCGCTCTCCCTCTCGAAACACCCCCACATGGCCACGCGTATACAGCCTCTACCAGGGAAAACCTACTCACTGCCTTCTCGTGGTCGGGGTGTTGCTTACGAAATTTCAAACATATTAACAGTATTCTAACAATGAGTAGTTTCATAGCTTGAATCAGTCAGTCAGTCAGCTACAACGTAGGACCAGACACATATGTGCCTCGGTCCGAGTTGCCATATCTCATTAGCACAACAAGATGAACACCGGGTTCATAGGAGTGGTTAGGTCAAAGGTTGCAATAAGGATATAGTATAGGAAGAAAGAATTAGTTCGTAGAAAGAAATTTGTATGAAGCAATTTTAATCTCTTAGTTTAAGGGAAGACAGAGAGTGTATACACCGACGCCATTGTGATCGATTCTGAACCATGTCACCAACAGTCTCCAACCATTGGTTACAATGGTCACGCAGACCACAACCATATAGTCTGCATCTACCAACATGGCTCAGACTAGAAGTTAGTGACTTCAAGCACTGATGCCACGTTTTGATTTGGCCGCCCCTGACTTTCTTCCAACCATCCCCAACACCGGTTAGCATTACACGTCGTGGTAATCGGTGTTCAGGCATACGTAACACGTGGCCCAACCATCTCAGACGATGAAGATTCATAACCTCATCAACTGATTTACCATCATTCCCTAATACCCTGTGTCTAACCTCACTATTACTTACCCGGTAATCCCAGCAGATGCCAGCAATATTTCTAAGGCATCTGTGGTCAAATACTGGTAGCTTACGAGTATCTTCTACTCTTAAAGGCCATGTTTCTCTGCCGTAAAGTAAGACAGAACGGACTGCCGCGCAGTATACTCGACCTTTTATTGATAGACGGATATCTCGCCTTTGCCACAGGTGACGTAAGTTGGCAAAAGCCAAACGAGATTTTCGAATCCGTGCTGAGATTTCGTCAGACACCAACCCATTAGGGCTGATCAGACTTCCAAGATACGTGAGGTTGTCAACGCGTTCAACTACTTCACTCCCTATCCTTAGTTCAGGTCTTGACGCAGACCAGTCCTGAAGCAACAACTTGCATATAGAGGGAGAGAAGCGCAACCCAAACATTCTGGCATTGTTGCTTAGTAGTGCTACCAGAAGACTCTGCATTTTATCATCGTCTTCACCAAACAGGACTATTTCATCTACGTAGTGTAAGTCGATAAGTGGACCTCCTGGAAGGAGATCAATACCCGAGAATTCAGTCGACGAGAGTGTTATTTCCATCAATAGGTCTATGATGAAGTTAAACAAAAATGGAGAAAGTGGACAGCCTTGACGGACACCACTTGAAGTTGCAAAAGCAGATGACAGTTCGCCATAAGCCCTGACTCGACTAGTAGTGTTCGAGTAAAGAGCCTTCACAAGGTTTATGTTCTTCTGAGGTACGCCTTTCAATGACAGACACTGCCACAGAATCTCACGGTCTACAAAGTCAAATGCTGCTTTTAAGTCAAGAAAGACCATCATTGTCGGACGCCGATAAGTATGCTTGTGTTCTAGAATCTGACGAATGGTGAATATGTGGTCGATGCAGCCACGACCAGGTCTAAAGCCAGCTTGGTTCTCTCGAGTTTGTAGTTCACGAGTCTTAGTTAGGCGTTTGATAATTATCGAGGCCAGTATTTTAGATACTGTGTTTGTTAAACTAATCCCTCTGTGGTTGTCACAGGATGATTTTGACCCTTTCTTATATATTGGGACGATAAGTGATTGCGACCAGTTAGATGAGATAACGTCTAACTCCCAGATTTTAGCTAAAATATTAGTCAACCTAATCGCTAAAATTGGACCACCATCCTTAAAGACCTCTGGAGCCAGTCCATATGGACCAGCTGCCCTTCCTCGTTTCAGATTAACTATAGCCTTTTGAACTTCAGCAAGAGTTGGGGGACCTACTTCAATGTTCCATTCACATTGTCTGGGAATAGAGGGTAGTTGTAGAGTAGCTGAAGGCCAGCTGAACTGTTCTCTAAAATGTTCCGCCCATCGTTCTAAACGTTTGGACTGGGAGCAGATGAGAGTATCATCTTTTTCCGAAATAATCTCACTTACACTTGACTTATTAATTCCAGTTTCTTTTATTAGTCTGTAAAGCTGTCTTGTGTTCCCTATAGTCGCCGCATTTTCCATCTCTTTTGCTTTCGTTACCCACCACTGCTCACGGTCATTCCTTAGACTTTTTCTTAACCTAGATCTGATTTGTTTTCGCTCTTCATCATGTTCAGAACCTGGTGGAACGAGTTTGCGAGAATCCATCAGCGTGACAGACCTTGAAGAAATCCACTGGTTCCTTGCAACTCTGTGGTTTAAGTCACTAATAGATGCCACTGCTGTTTCCACAGCTGATTGTATGCCCTTCCAAGCAACATCTGGGTCAGCCTCGTCTTCAAAACTACCTAAGTGTGACCTCAGTTGTTCCTGGAACCTACTTTTGGTTTTCTCGTTACTCAATTCAGTTCTAACGGGTCTTTTTAATGTGGCTTTTTTGCGTCCAGTGAGGCGCAAGCAGATGCGTGCCCATATTAGGGCATGGTCGGAGTCCAGGCAGGTACTCCAGAATGAGCGACAATCTTCAACCGACCCTCTCCAACGATGACTGATGGCAATATGGTCTATTTGAGTTCATCGTTGGTTTGGTGTAGAGGGTCGCCATGTTAGACGATGTCTCTCCTTATGCTTAAAATTTGTGTTTGCTAAAAATAAACGATTGTCTGAGCATAGCTGCAGCAGACGATCACCATTATCTGTTCGCTGTGTCGGAATACTAAAATATCCACCTAAATGTCTTTCTGTTTGGTTTAAACTGCCTATCTGAGCATTAAAATCACTTGCTACGAGTACTATGTCTGAACGTTTAGCTTTCTGAAGAAGTTCAGAGACCTTTCTGTAAAATTCATCTTTCACATCATCTGAGCTGCAGTCAGTGGGAGCGTAGGCAGAAACGACAAAAGGCAACGACGTGTGTCCCTATCCTTCCGAGTTCTTACGTAGCCGTTCAGCCGAACAGCACATAGGCGACTGTTGACGGGGATCCACTCTAGCAGTGCTTGTTCCGCCCTCATGCTTAGTGCTATGCCTACACCTGCCAGTCCACGAGAACTTGCCATCGGGTCACCAGATACACGGAGGGTGTATCTCGTTGGCGTTCCGTTTTGCCGAGGTGAGGTCAAGTGAATAACCACACTGGAATCCTGTATGCGTGTTTCGGAGACACAGGACACGTCAATGGTAAGAGACTCTAGGGTTTTAGCCAAGGAAGCCTGCTGATCGATTTGACATAGAGTGCGTACGTTGAAGGCTTCAATGTGTAGTTTGGAGCGAGGTTTCAGTAGACCTGGGACAGTGTTTTGCGCACTAGAATCGTTGGCTATGGTGACACTTGAGGTGGAAGCCGAGAGAGGAAATTTAAAGTTGAAAGTCGATTTAGGAGGAATAATAGGAGTTGAAGAGTGAGGTTGATTATGAATACAGTGGTCTTGAGTGCTGTTAGAGGTATGAGGGCGGTTATCACTTCCCGGTTGCCCACACCATGGAAGGGTTGTTCTGGAGGTACCTGAAAAGGAAATTGGATTAAAGGTGGTCTTAGTGACCTGAGAGCGTGACCGCAGTGCCCAAGGGACAACTGTTTGAGGTCGGTCACACACGACCTTGTTATGGGTAATTTTTGTGTTAGCTCCGTACTTATTGAGACCTTACCGCCGGAGACGGATATCCGTGGGATAAGGCGAGGTGTGCATTTTTAGGGTCGACCTTTTCTAACCCCACCCCTCCTTGTGGGAAGGCAGCATCGCTGTCATGCTGGTTGTGTGAAGGAAACACCTTACTGCTGTCACGCCTCTGTACGGTCAGCAGTACGACTTCGCCTTCGGACCTTGGGTTTGTTGTTTTTAGTCTTATCGCTCTTCAACCGACCTGTCTGACATGGTAGGACCTTGAGGAACGGTTGTTCCAGCAAGTATAGCTCGGTTGCTTCATCACGATAGGCAAGCCCGACCACCACGTCAAGGTAGCAACAACGGTCGAGTCATAGCTTGAATAAACACTCTTAAAACAATTATACCGGTAATATAAGAAGTATTAATTATGTATTTAAAAGAAAAAGGACTGAAATTGATGGATGGAAAGTCTGAAAATGAAATAAAGAATGAATAAAGCTACTTACAATATGATTTAAGTTTGCCAACCACTGGTTCAAATTTTCACATGAACTTAACTGGAAATTTTGTTTCCCCTAAAATAATTTTCGTCAAAAATCAGAAATCTCTTTGAATGATGCGGTACTTCTTTTGATGCACGCTTGGTGGTTTCACTGTAAATAAATATACCCTTCAAGGATATCTATGGTCAAATAGTGACAGAACTCAAAAGTCCTTCAATTCCGTATATTTAAAGTTAAGACATGGTCAATGCTAAGCAGTATATTCGATATTAAATAGTATTAAAAAGAAGTTTGGTAATCAGAAAATTATTTTTAAACACAAAAGATTACTTCAAAACAAAGCACTGCAATAGCATTTATTTTTTACCTTTCGTACAAGGATTAAGTGGAGAACGCGTTTGATGATATCCATCTTGACAACGATCACAGGTTAAACCAGCTACACCTTGTTTACATCGACACTGTCCACTTCTTCTGTCACAATCATGACGGACAATAGATCCAATTGGATGACATCGACAAGCTGTGTAAAGAAAATTAAATAATCTTTTAACTATGAAACATTTAACAAAAAGTGTTGATAATAATATTTAATATCCCAACAAATCAATCTTGATAACAGAGTACATTCTTCACATTCAAAGCTTTACTAATAATGGAGCAAGATTAAAAATTTGAGAGTAAAGTGGTATGAACATACAAATCATATTTAATTGGACGAAAACTTGTATAAATTGTATAAATCATAAGCTACAAACCTGATTTTCGGTGCCAGTTTGTGAAGCGAAGCTCCTGTATACAATTAAGGTTATTGATTGATAAGTATATGGATCGAAGACCAAGAATTCTTATAACAAATAACAAAATTATTATAGAATAATACAAGGAACAAAGACAAAGTTTAAAATGTTAGATTTGTTACAGAAACTAGGTCACGCAAAATGTCTATTTATAAGTCGGTAAATGAAATAATCAGTATTAACACTTAAGAGGAAATTAAATCATGAAATATGAACGAAGAATGATTTATCAGTGATCATCAAAGTATCAATTAGCGCATGATTATCATAGTTTTCTATCTTGATTATTCCAAATATATCTGAACTAACTACATTGTTCTCTATGTTAGTCAACTGGTGAGTCATTCTGCTAAACAACAAATATACACCTATCAGCCTAAAATTCTTTTGTAGATTAGACAGAAAAGATCCCATTCACGTCTGCAGAGGTTCGCATAAGTTTAATTGTCCAGTCTCAAGTTACAAAATCTATCAATTTTTAACTGATATGAAACAAAATTAATGCTCTACATTAGAAATCGTTAAATTCTTAAGAGAAACCACTGAATAAAGTGAAATTCTTCTGTTCATAATTGATTGCCCACTGGGTGGTGATCAACGTCATGTGTGTCAAGTCCCTATTTAGTGCAGATTGAATGCTATCGAACATGTTGCAATGTGGCCACTAGTCTAGGTGACTCGACACTGCGTGCACTATACATTGAGATTAGATGGTGGTTGGAGGTAGTCGACAGGAAACCCTGAACCCAGGTTTCATGCTACTTGGCACTCGTCAGCAAGGTGTACCTGTAATCTTGAGGGAAGTGGTGCTCCCTGGCGTATTCGATTCCGTATCACCCAGCTAACGAGTGCCAAGTAGCACGAAACCCGGGTCCAGGGTTTCCTGTCGACTACCTCCAACCACCATCTAATATTCTATTCAGTAAATAATAAAAAATCAAACAAGCAAGCAACTACACGTTCAACAAATTCACTTTAACTAGAGTAGATCCATCTATATCATTTTTATGTTAAAGTAACTAATGTAAGTTATATCTATTTATAATATATACTGACAGTGATGTAACGATAATATTATCATAACATTTTCATTGAGAGTAGACAATATTTAGTATAATTTTTATGAAGACAATAAATAGAGATTCAATTCAGCAATTAATCAAAGCTCAAAGGGGATTAGAATTGAACAGAACGCATATGTTAATGAAATCCGAAGTTTATGTTTTGAAAGAAGAGACAGTCAAACTTAACTAAAATTCCCTTGAGATATGCATAAATGTTGAAATTAGTTTATAGCAATAAAATATTTAAATTCATTTGGTACTGTTTACTTGAATCCTTTCATTGATGTTTAGAACTGAAATTGATCAGCCTCTTATTGATATATGTGCATATTGTGCGTATTGCCTTGATATTGCCTTAATTCACAAGCATTACAAGCACAGATGAATAGTGGCTAGTAGTGTAGTCCAGGACGCGCGTTTCGTCCTATTCAAGACTCATCATCTGGATGTACCTGCAACTCAGAATTGATGTTCACTGTTGATGTTCCACTGCTAGCCACTATCCATCTGTGCTTCTAAATATTTACTTTTTAATTACTAATTAAAACAACTGTGTTAAAAGTATATTAAAGTTAAATGAATGATCATATGAACTAATGCATAGAAAATATCAATATATTAATTCACTGAAATGTTACAACGAACCGTTCAAAAATCTTCCAGTCAAAGACTTTTCATATATTTACAAATTAAACAAACAGTTTGATGAATATACCACTTAAATAAATGAGTCAAGATTGATCTCACGTTTAAACTTTATAGATGAAGTGTCGAATTTAAGAAACTATCTGGTTATTATGAAATCCAGTTTTACGGAAGGTTAGTTTTACAATGGTTGTATTATGCAAAGAATATTGTTTTTATCCGTTCTGTTACTCAATAAAATTATTCGAATGAGTTTATTCATACATTGCATTATTCATATTGTTAGTATTTACAGTTGAATAAATTTTATCCATCAAGCTGAAGTGTCCGTAAGATTTTCATTAAAAACCATCTAAATGAAATCATTTCATGAAGGTAGTAAAAATTGGTTGGAAAACGTTGGTAATCGATTCTCTATTCTATTGTTAAGAACAAAGTTATCTAAATACTAGGTCATTTATTAATTACAAACTGCTTGATTAGTTCAAGTTACCCATTACAGTTCTAGTCGTTTCAGTAATTCATATCTTTGATCAAAATATCACCGAGTATAGTCTTGATAGGCTTAGAATCAAATATAAATTATATGTATTTGATTCACACTGGTCTGTAACTAAATGTGAATAATGACCAATTACCACATACTAATTACTTCATAGGTGCATAAGAAATGTTTCTTTTTGAATGTTTTACTAAGATCTATTTTAATACTCAGAGAATACGCAATAAATTTAGAGTTCACTAATCAAAGCATTGAAAATTACATCCTGAGACAATTTGAGACAGCTCATCCATAGGAAAATATCTTTCAACAATCAGTATTTATATATTTTAAGCGTGAGATATCATTCACATTTTAGTTTGAATGATATGTCTTAGTAGTTATGATGATCTAACTTACTTTCAAATATGCTTATTACAAAGAAAACAATAAAATAGCCGTCTAGTTAAAGTGGATAATTTAGATGAAACGTACCCGAATATCCATGTCAAAGAAATCTTTATAAAAAAATAGTCTTTGGTGTTTGATAAACATATAAACTAGATTTTTAGCTAAATTAAAAATACATCTCATACGACAAAGTTTGCAAACGGTTAAAAACTTATTGTGACCTGAAGATGTCTTTCGAAATTTCTTGTGATACAAATGAAAACTGATAAATACTTGCACTGTCATTGCACTTACATTTGCCAATTTATATGTATGCACTACAGTATATATGTGGGAGATTTATTAAACAGATAAAGAATTTTATTAATTGAAATCATGAGTCAATTGGAGCTAGACCACTATGGAAAACCTGGAAGCACTGGACTGCCGTTTCGTCCTGTTGTGGGACTTCTCAGCAGTGCACATCTAGTGCTTCCAGGTTTTACATGGTGGTCTAGCTTCAAATGACTCATGATCTCAACTATAAAGACTAATATAATATCCACAAAATCCCCTTCAGATATTCAATTGTTTGCATTACTGTACTTTGGAATGTTTCTCTTTCGAGAACAGCGAAGTATTTAACGATCATGTACTTAAATTTGAACACTTAATAAAAATCAGAATTAAAACCAAGATAAAAATGAATTCCGAGAGCTGAATGCTAACAATTAGAAGTTTGAAATCTCAACTTTATATTGTCAAGGAGTTCGTGCACTATTTCTACCATCAATAGCATCGTTTTTAATATATATGAATAAATACTGTTTTGATTCATTGGTATCCTACACCAATCGAGTTAACTTTTCTCTGTTTATTACCCTATGTAGTCAGCTATTTCCAGAATTATCTTCCAATAAGCTTAACAACTTCCAAATACCTTTATTGTGTTATAATTCAACTTTACTCTAAATTAGCTTTATTTTGTGCTATTTATTAGTTTCAATGTCGATGTTTTCTTCAATGAAAATAAATATTGCCGAATAGGTTATTGTTCAAGAAAAAGTAATGCGATGCAACCAAGATGTTGGTCGACTAACTACCTCTTGGTTATCAGCGCTTCCTCACCATATATTCCTAAGACCCCTATCCTTTACAGAGAGTCTAAGGGTGGTTGCAGAATAAACTGGAGAATATAACTAGGTCCGGAAGTCGTTAAATATAAGATGCATGTATATAAATATATCAATGGTAAAATTCCTTGAGGTATAATCTACCAAAGAGAAATCAAATGTCAACTGATGTTCATCAGTGAGAATTTCATGTAAATCTTGTAATAACTCCATAGCGATTAGATGTTTTGAAACTGAAGAAAATTTTTTATTTAACTCATGATTGGAAAATCAGAGAAAACTAAACAAGCTACAACTTCCAATTGACACTAAATTTATATTTTGTGAAATGATCGAAATATCTATTTAATGGTAGTTTCAGCTCATTCTCTTTATTTCTTTACTTAATTGACATAATAATAAATACAGGGATAATTAACTTTATGTCTTCTCGGGTATCACAACGTGTCATTAATGATTTGGGTAGTTTTTTTATGTAATAAAATAATATTTTTACCTTTGGGACATTGCTGTTTATACTGTTATAATCTATTGACAATGAAGTTTGCCGAAACAGAATAACTAAGTCCATTTACATAAAAATATATGGAGTACTTTAAAACTATGCATTAAATTTATTCATTTTAATTAATTCTCGGGTATTCATCTCCTTTCAGGAGGTCCACTTATCGACTTACACTACGCAGATGAAATAGTCCTGTTTGGTGAAGACGATGATAAAATGCAGAGTCTTCTGGTAGCACTACTAAGCAACAATGCCAGAATGTTTGGGTCGCGCTTCTTTTCCTCCATATGCAAGTTGTTGCTTCAGGACTGGTCTGCGTCAAGACCTGAACTAAGGATAGGAAGTGAAGTAGTTGAACGCATTGACAACCTCACGTATCTTGGAAGTCTGATCAGCCCTAATGGGTTGGTGTCTGACGAAATCTCAGCACGGATTCGAAAATCTCGTTTGGCTTTTGCCAACTTACGTATGGCGAAGGCGAGATATCTGTTTATCAATAAAAGGACGAGTATACTGCCAGGCAGTCCGTTCTGTTTTAATTTACGACAGCGAAACATGACCATTAAGAGTAGAAGATACTCGTAAGCTACCAGTATTTGACCACAGATGCCTTAGAAATATTGCTGGCATCTGCTGGGATCACCGGGTAAGTAATAGTGAGGTTAGACACAGGGTATTAGGGAATGATGGTAAATCAGTTGATGAGGTTATGAATCTTCATCGTCTGAGATGGTTGGGCCACGTATTACGTATGCCTGAACACCGATTACCACGACGTGTAATGCTAACCGGTGTTGGGGATGGTTGGAAGAAAGTCAGGGGCGGCAAAACCAAGACGTGGCATCAGTACTTGAAGTCACTAACTTCTAGTCTGAGCCATGTTGGTAGATGCAGACTATATGGTTGTGGTCTGCGTGACCATTGTAACCAATGGTTGGAGACTGTTGGTGACATGGTTCAGAATCGATCACAATGGCGTCGGTGTATACACTCTCTGTCTTCCCTTAAACTAAGAGATTAAAATCGCTTTATACAAATTTCTTTCTACGAACTAATTCTTTCTTCCTATACTATATCCTTATTGCAATCTTTCTTTTATATATTACCACCTCTGAATTAACTACTTTTATGAATCCGGTGTCCATCTTGTTGTGTTAATGTGGTATGGCAACATGGACTGATGCATATATGTGCCTGGTCCTACGTTGTAGCTGACTGATTGACTGACTTTAATTAGTTACATTTGATTATAATAAATCAAAAGAAAATTTTTTAAATGAAACATTATAAACTTACGTAAACAAACATTTTCATGACTGATTGGTTTAGTCCAATCTCGATAATAACCTTCAGCACATTGATGACAATTACGACCAATTGTATTATGTTGACAATTTTCACAAACACCACCACTTACACGATTAGATAATAAATAAAGTGAATTTGAAAATCGGCATTCATTTGAATGAAGGTTACAATCACATTCTAAGATAAGAAATTAATATATAAAATATGTTATTATGATAGATCAAACATGTTTGATTATTGATAATGAAAAGATGTTAATATCAACCCAAATATTAGAACAAAATGTTCACAGGCTGTTGGACAAGATTTATCACAATAATGAAACTTTGTTGGTTTTTTAGATCTTGTAGAAACTTACGTCACTTATGGCGAACTCGAAATATGCATCTATCAATCAAAGGACGAGTATACTATGCAGCAGTTCACTCTATTCCACTTTACGGCTGAGAAACGTGAACATTAAGAGTAGAAGATACTCGTTAGCTACCAGTATTTAATCACAAATGTCTTAGAAATATTTCTGGCATCTACTAGGATCACCGGGTAAGTAACAGTGAAGTTAGATGCAGATTATTAAGGAATGATGGTAAATCAGTTCATGAGGTTGTGAATCTTCATCGACTGTGTGTTACGTATGCCTGAACACCGATTACCATGGGGGGCAATGCTAACCGGTGTTGGGGACGGATGGAAGAAAGTTAGGAGCGGCCAAGTCAAAATGGGGTATCAGTACTTGAAGGCACTAACTTTTATTCAGAGCCATGTTGATAGATGCATACAACTTGGTTGGGGTCCGTGCGATTATAGTAATCAATGGTTAACTGACTGGCTGGTAGTACAAGAAAATAGACCGTCAGAGTATGTGTTCTAAATAAACTAAAATAAACACTTTAGTCAAAATGCTTGTGGATAAACAAACATATTTAAAGCAATAATATTGTAGTGAACAAGAACACGGGTGGGGCGATCGACTGTATTTGGCACAAAAATTACAGACTATCTCAATAAAATGTGAATACCATAAAGTCAATCGTCAATTTGCAAAATATTATTCCATCATATCAAACTGTACTGCTCCCGTTGCAAACAATAATCCATTGTCTCCCATTCCATTGTACATGCGTTTTCTTACAATTCCATTGTGTTCTTGCTCTTTCTTTCTTGATCTTCGCCATCTGCTGCCGGACATTACGTTCTTTTAACGCACGTTATATACTACTTATATCAATATAAGTAGGTCACACCACAATATAACATAGTCAAACGCTCAAACGTTTAGGTCACCTACTTACTAACTCTATAAGTATTGTGATAAACAACCAACCAATTATAGTAACTGGGTAATTGCGATTCTTAAGTGTAGGTACCTAAGCTCTATTGTAACGAGCTTACAACTTATTAAGGTGCATGATACCGAAAAAAATCGAATATGGACACTCAAGTTGTTGATGTATTTTCCTTTAGATCTGACCATTGAAGAAAGATGAGAGAATCCTATCGAGATTATTGCGTTTAGTAAGTGATGTTTGGATAAAGTACACTGCGAAAATCATCAAACTGTATCATAAAGCAAGACCTAACTTTGAACCGTAAAAGGAAGAGAAAAAGAGGAAGACCAATGGACACACTACATCGAGGAATTGGAAGCAGACATCAAAAGAATGAACAGCAACTGGAAAGGATAGTGTTGGACAGAGTTAGATGGAGAATCCTAGTGGATGACCTATGCTCATGCACAAGGGGTAACGGACTTAAGTAAGTAAGTACAAAAAAAGGAGCGGAAATCTTTCGAGATTAGAGATGAATGGCTAATACTAAATATTGTAAAATATGGACCAGTCATATTTGATAGATAATTACAATTTAAATGAATTTAAAAGAGAAATTTGTTACTTATGGTTCTTCAATATAACAAAACTTGTAACAGTAAATCTATCAACACTTATTCTAACAAAATTACTGATGCATATATATTTCTGGTATTTAGATTGAAATGTTTCAACTAAAATATCTTAGTAAATATTATTATTCTCTTTGAAACATTTTTGATACTGTTTGTTCCATTCCTTTATACAACTTAATGATCATAGCATAAATTATCTATTTTATTCAAATAAAAATTCATCATCTCAACGGTAATTTCACTAGTATATGATCTATAACTGATATGGTTTCTTCAATAACCACTTGATAAGATGAATATAAAGACGATATAGATCATTCAAAAATAACTATTTTATAGTTGAATCCATGAGTCGATTTAAGCTAGACCACAGCTAAAAACCTGGAAATACTGAACACAGGTTTCATCTCAATATCGGACTCTTCAGAAGTGTTCATCCACGATCCTGCACGTAAGACTTGAATCTAGGCCCTTCGATCTCACGAGCGAACGCTTAAACTTTAGGTCACTAAGTTATTTTATGCTATTCATTTCTGATGACAACATTTTATGGACATATATTTGAAAAGACTAAACTATCAGTTAGATTTTCTTGCTTGCATAAATTTGATTTATAGACCAACTAAATAAAGGGGTGAAGTTTATTTTAGAAGGGTTTTCAAAATTTATGAACTAGTTTGTATGTCACAGTGTTGAAATATTCATAAATGAACGAACATAAACATATGAAATATTACACTCTTTTAATGGAAATGCTAGTTGAATTTTAAATAAGAGTTATAAATCAAATACATTAAACCTTCATAAAACTCCATTCTAGTCAATAATCATCCATATTGATATCCAAAAGATCTAATCATAGAATAATTTTGATCAAAATCATTTTAGTGGTTTCATTTATTTCAATGACATAGTATAGTATATATATAATCGTTTAATGAATAGAGAATTTAAGTAGTATATATATTTATTGTTTTATTAAAATCATATTCACAATTATAACAGGATATTTCCTTCCTGTCATATTCAAAAGAAACTAACTATTAAACAGTTTGACGTTTTGAATTATCGTTATTATTATTTTTTCAGAATGTTAACTTTTAACCTGAAAAATTTCCAGTTCTCATTTCACTCTTGTTAAAAGAGAAAGGAATAAATCCATCTTAATAAAATTATTCTGTGTATAGTTTATTATATGTGATTTGTATGATAGTTTAATGTCCTTACGTTTTTTTTATGTTACTCAAATATTTTATAGTTTATTTTGTTACCAATAAAATTTAATGACTTATCATCACTAAGCAAAGATGAATAGTGGTTAGCGGATTAATCCAGGACGCGCGTTTCGTCCTATTCTGGACTCGTCAGCTGGATATACCTGCATCTCAGAGCTGATGTTCACTTTGGGACTCAAACTCAGTACCATTCATTTAAAATGCCATCACGTTATCCACTTAGCTACTGAATCCTGATAGCCACTTGTTTGTACCATGGGGTGAAGTTGAATTCACTTGGTGTTGTTTAATTGAATCTTTCCACTGATGTTTAGGACTACAGTTGATCACTCTGTTATTGGCATAAATGCATCCTGTGCATACTGCCTCGATATCAGGACTCAGTAGCTAAGTGGGTAACATGATGGTGTTTGAAGCGAATGGTATTGAGTTCGAGTCCCATAGTGAAAATCAACTCTGGGATGCAGGTACATTCAGATGATGAGTCCCAAATGTACGTCCTGAATTCCACCGTTAACTATTATCCATTTTTGCTGATAAAGCTTATGATTTAAAGCACTATCGAGGCAGTTCGCACAGGATGTTCATATGCACACAAAAGATTTATCAATTAATATTCTAAATAACACTGGAAAGACACAACCAAACAATACCAAGTGAATTGACAATTAGACATTTTGTTTACAGTTCATTTAACAGTGAATTAACCCTTTATTATCTTCCTCTCTTCATTTCTAGACAATAACTAATTTATCTATATACTAAAATAATGAAGGTCAAAGTTAACTAATGTTAGTCTACAATCTTTAATTATACAATTGAATATTCATTCGTTATACTTCTCAAATCTTTTTTTTTGAATAAGAATTTTATTTATGTAATAAAACAAAAATGAAATGAATTCTCAAATGATTCAATATTTATATAATAAATGTCCAATTTTTATTATTCCCAATAGTATAAATAATAAATTTTATAAAGATTTATTACAAGATGAATCTATTATCAGATTTTTTAAAAAGTGACTTTAGTTTGTTTAAAGTTTGATTTATTCGTAAATAACAAAAGTAGTAATTCAATGACTGATATCATGAGTCAAATGAAGCTAGACTACTATGCAAAATCTGAAAGCACTAGACGGCCATTTCGTCTTAGTATGGGACTCCTCAGCAATGAGTATCCATGAAAACCACTCTTGAGTTTCGCGCGCGACTGCTTAACCTCTAGACCACTGAACCGGCATCTAACGGGGTTAATGTCTAACCTCAATTAATCCATGAAAGTGTAATATTGTTTAATAACTACATATAAGATAATAAGTGTACCTGTAGTGTACAAGAACACGAGTGGGGAGCAACTGAAAATAATATGAACACAACATTACGGAATATCACACTAAAATCTGAGAACAATACAGTGAATAGTTAATTTGCAAAATATCAGTCCATCGTCTCTAACTTAACTATTCCTTTTGCAAATATCAGTTCATGGTCTCAGATTTCATTGTTCATGCATTTTCATACTAATTACTCTCATTTCTCATCCTTTCCCTTTCGATCTTCCATTGAAATACATTCTATGTCTGACCATCGTTATATATTACTTATGTGAATATAATTAACTCACACCACATACCCAATTCATGAAAGATACATAAACTTACTCAGAAGAATTTCAGATGACAGTTAAAGTAAACAGACTTAGATTCATAAATCACTTTTTTTTATATCCTTATAAATAATATGACAGTTCCTAAGGTAAAGCTAAGAACATCTTACGTATTAAATGGAACACAAAATTTCTAAATGATATATGTTTTCAGGTTATGATACTTTTTGTGTAAGGATAATAGACATTCTATTACGTTGTTTTACCAAAATATTCATAATGTTTATAATATAATCTATAACGTAAATACTCTTGAGTTTATATATAATTATCAAATTACCACTTTATGTATTCGACTATAAAGGTGAATAGAAGATCTATTAATTCTTTCAAGAAGTCTAGTATCAAACCAAATTATTTTCATCTGTTTG